CAAGGTGAACGTGGGAGTGAAATACGCAGAGAAGCAGGAACGGAAATTTGAGCCCGAGAAGCTAAGAGAAGGGAGGAACATCATCGGGCTGCAGGTACCGCCCCTTCCTCACCGGGGTCTGGCTGCTGAGGAGGCGGGAGGACGAGGAGGCTGAGAGGGTACCCTGCTCCCTGAAGGCTCGGGGGGGACAGAATGGTCCCTACTACTAAACTATCTGCTTGGCATTTTCTGTACCCTAACTCACTCCTCCAATGGTTCTAGGGGGTGGGTACTGTTGGCATCATACCTTTTATATAGATGAGGAAACTGAGGCCAGGAGAAGCTAGCTCCCTCGCCAGGATCGCCCACTGGAAGTCAGGCCCCAGTGCTCTGAGCCATTTACCAGTCTGTGACACATCTTCTCTGGGCCTCAGTTTCCGGTCTGTAGCCTGAGGGTGGAAACTGACATCAGTTAAACCTCAGGGCCCGTGGTGAGATTCTGTAACCCTCAGGGTGATTCTCCTCCTGGCTTCCCTAGATGGGCACCAACAAGTTTGCCAGTCAGCAGGGCATGACAGCCTACGGCACCCGGCGCCACCTCTATGACCCTAAGCTGGGCACGGACCAGCCCCTGGACCAGGCCACCATCAGCCTGCAGATGGGCACCAACAAGGGAGCCAGCCAGGTATGCGGGGGCAGGGGGGCGCACAGGCCGGGCTGGTGGGGTCGTGCCCCTCGCCACCCCCATGGCCTGACCGCACTGCCCTCTGCAGGCCGGCATGACCGCGCCCGGGACCAAGCGTCAGATCTTCGAGCCAGGGCTGGGCATGGAGCACTGTGACACGCTCAATGTCAGCCTGCAGATGGGCAGCAACAAGGGGGCCTCGCAGCGGGGCATGACGGTGTACGGGCTGCCGCGCCAGGTCTACGACCCCAAGTACTGCCTGACGCCCGAGTACCCGGAGCTGGGCGAGCCTGCCCACAACCACCACCCGCACAACTACTACAACTCCGCCTAGGGCCCCGGGCCTCCCGCCTTCCCCCAGGGAGGCTGGCTGCTGCTCCTGGCAGGGCCTGGCCTGGCCCGCCGACCCCCTCCCCCTGCATGGCTCCTCCAGCCTCCTGGCACCTGCCTACAGGGTTAGCGTTTGGGGGGAGCAGATTGGGGGGCCCGTGGGGTGGGAACGGGGGGCTCCTCCCTGGAGCACTGCAGGGGTCCAACATGGAGCCGGGTGTTCCCAACACACCCAAAGGATGCACTGAGCAAAGCTACCCTGCTGTTCCCCACTCCCCACAGGTGGCTTCCCCCAGGACAAGAAGCCCCCCAAGCGAAGCCCCCAGAGCCCAGGCTCGCCCCCCAGCCCCCAACCCCATTCCCACAGTGGGAGCAAACTGCATGCCCAGAGACCCAGCGGACACACGCGGTTTGGTTTGCAGCTGGCGTACGGGATGTGACAGCGGCGTTTGTAACGCGAGCACTTTCTTTTTCTACTTCACTGGAGCACAATAAATGCCTGTAAAATCAGCCGAGGACTTGGGGCTGCTCTGTCCCCCAGAGCCTGCGTGGCTCTTGCACACATGCCAACAACCCTGTTCAGATACACTCTGTCTCCCGCACACACATCTGCCCGGGGACACACACTCACTGCACCCTAAGATGCACACACAGAGCTCACAGCCAGTCTCTGGACCCAGGACAGACACCCCACTCACTCACACACAGAATCCTCACACACGCTCTCACACTCACACATGCAATACATACTCCTACCCAAGACACATAGCATACACCTCACAAGGGTGTTCCCCCAGGACAAGAAGCCCCCCAAGTAATATCCACACACATGTGCTTGGTACCCACGTGCCTTCCCTGGGGGTCTGTGGGTTGTGTTAAGAGGCCAAGCCCTGGGCCAGGCTGGATGGGATGTGAATCACAATTCTGCAGCTCACTAGCTGGGTGACCTTGGGTAAGTCGCTTCCCTTCCCTAGGCCTGTTTTTCCATCAAAAAAATGAGGACCTGGAACCATGTGGGGTCTCAGGAAACTTGAATGAAATGATGCCTCCAGACGGGATGACATTTGGCTGTGACAGTGAGAATGGACAAGCCGAGGCCTGGAGGCCCCTGTGGGCGGGGGGACTCTTTAGCCCTGGAGGAGACTGCGGGGAGGTGGGAGTACACAGAGCATTGGGGGAGGATGGGCACTTTGGGTGCCCAGGGCAATGGCCCGTTACCAGCTGGCACAGAACTGTTAAGTAGCTGACCGCAGGGTGCAGCTGGCCCGTGCCACTGGCTCACTCTCTGCCCTCTTCTTAGGGCTGCTGTCCAAGCCTGGCCTGCCAGCCCTGGACCCTAGAAGTCTGGACAAGGCCCCAACCTCTCCATATTTCAGAGGGGCCCCGAAGCCACCAACTACCAGGGTTCCACTGCAGCCGTACTGTGGGCACAGTCTTCTTCCCTCTCCTCCCCAGGGCAGGGGGTGAGGATGGAACCTGGGGACCCAGAGAGACAGAGATCAGTGGACCCACGTGCATAGCTGCACACAGCACCCAGGGGCCTCATTAACTGGATTCTAGGCACTCTTGGCCTGGCTTCCCGGAGTCCTGCTCCCCGAGGGCCAGCAAGGGGAAGCTATGCTAAGGAGGATTCATGCCTGGCCCAGGGCCCTGCCTCCTCGGGAAAACAGCACCATATTAGCACTTAGCCTGTGAGGCTGAGGGGGAGGGCCCTGGATGGCAGAACAAGCCCCCTTTCCCTGGATCCCAGAGAGCACACCCCTCATCCCAGAAGTAGGCACCTGTCCACCTTCTATCCATGTCTGCTGGGTCCTGCCTTGGCCAGGTGACCCCACCTGGGGCCTTGGAGGGAGGAGGTGGGAGTCCCAGGGAGGGTCATGTCAGGGCAGAGTGGGACTTTGGGGACACATGGCAGACCCAGTGGCTGGACCTGGTGGACAGGGCTGTAGGCTAGCTCAGCATCTTCTTTGGCTGTTCGAATCCCTCACTGCCCTAGTGGGTCCAAGTCTGCTCGAATCATGCCAGGAATCATGAATAGGCTCCCTGGAAAGGTTCCATCATCCTTCCCGCTGTACCAACGAGGAATCCAAAGCACAGTGACTTGCTGCCAGGGCTCATGAGGCCAGACAGAGGAGTTGGACCTGCCCTAGGCTGCCAGAGCGTCAGAATACCCACACCACAAGGCCATCTGAGGGGGTCATGGGGGTAGCCAGGTGCTCACCACCAGCCATATTCAGATGGGTTTTTTCCAACACCACCACAGTTAACTCAGTTCTAACACTATCTGCCTGGACAGAACACCAGATCCCACAGGATAAGGGTTAAATTCAAGACAGCCCCTCCCCACTCCAGGCGCCAATCACAAGTCCAGGTTGTTACCTGTGCTTCGGACCAACCGGCTGTAGATGGGTGGTTCCCATGACCCCCTCCTCAGATTTGGTTAATTTACTAGAGTAGCTCAAAGAAGCTGGAGAAACATTTTACTAATTAGATTAGTGGCTTATTACAAAAGGACCTAACTCAGCCGGGTGGAAGGTGTGTGGGGCGAGGTGAGGCGGAGGGGTGTGGCCCACCCCTGCCCTCTCCAAGTGTCCCAGGGTCTCTGCGTTTAACGCCGAAGCTCATCAGATTTTGTTTTCACAGCAGCTTAATCTGCAGCACCCCCTCCCCCTTCCCAGGGTTGGCCGGTGCCTCTGAGATTTTAATAATCCCTTTCCAGTGACCAGCCCGACCCTAAATCACCTCATTAGCATAACCTCAGGAGTGATCAGAGGGGCTCTTTATGAATGACAAAAGATACTCCAGGTTGCTCAGGAAATTCCAAGGTTTTAGGAGCTTTGTGCCAGGAACTCAGGGAGAGGGTGTGTGTGGGGGGCGGTGCACAAAGACCAATATTACACCACGAGCGTGCCTCAGGCCCCACTTCCAGCCTTCCAAGACTCCTCACCACCCTAGGAAAAAGGCCCCTTTCACTACCCCAGACTCCTCCAGTCCTCCCCACAGCCCCCAGGAAGCCAAGAGCTGTTCCCTCAGCCTGGACCCTGCACTCATGAGGAAGTGAGACCCCCAGGCTATGCAGCCAGGCCTCCTGGGTTCAAGAACAGTCTAGGGTAGAAGGTGGCCCTTGAGCCTTACCCCCTTCAGGCTGACCACCCCACCCCCACACCATTAGACCCGTTTCCCTGGTTTCACCCCCAATGCCTGCAGAGCGGACCAAACATTGGACAGTTGGAAGGACTGACCAAACTCCACTTCTACCAGCCTGCTAGGCCACCTTGGAATGCCTGAGCCTCCCCCTTTTCCTCATTGAGCCCCTGGGGCTGACCCAGAGCCTAGGAAATCAGAAAGCCAAGAGTTTTGCATTGGCTGCTTTATTTAAGGGCTTGTGACTGACAGCTGTCTCCAACCCAGCCCCCCCTCCA